CGGGAGTGAATGGTGCTAGCTTTAGATCATGCCAATAATATCTATTGCACACTCTAGAGTTGGCAACTTCTGACCTTTAGTATTTGTTTTGCACTCATGCTCATGCGTTGCCCTTGTGTATTAACTCTTTCACTATGGAATATTTATTGACCGTGACATTGTTTTGCTTTCCAGAAGATGATCAGCACGAGGTTGTAATAAGAAAACTAGCATAATGTGTTAATTCTTGAAGCTGAAAGGCAGAATAAGGCTTCAAAGTAAAGCTGACAATATGAAGAATATGATGCAAGATCGCAGTGACTAATTATATTAATTTATTGTTCCTTAAGGATTGTCAAATATGAAAAAGTGATAAATATTGAAAAATAATAAAACATTACTGGAAATTCCAGATGAAATATTAGTAATACTGCAACCAGTTTTGTTAATGGTGATTTATAAACTGAATATTACAGAAAACACATATACAAAAACACAACATTCCAATGGTGAGTTATAAATTTTGGGTGAAGTATCAATACGCACATATAAAGGAATGTTTCCTTATTCTTACTTGAAACAGGTGCAATACATGTATATATAGGTGGAAACATACATGTGCCATGAGTGTGTACAGCAATGACTTGAAGTTGTTTTCCCACAGATTTCAAACACTATCTGCAGAGGTTTCATACAAAGAAATCCAATGTCACATATTGGTATTCAAAGTAAATAACTATATAAATATTAACAATGAAGATATCAAAGATATCAAAGCAAAGACTTTTACAGCCGTTTCAAATACATGTACGTATACATGCACATGCATTCCATTACAGTCCAATCTATGAAAGAGCCAGTCTAAAGAAATTGTTCATGGAACAGTGTGGTATTTGTAGAGACAGTCCAATAGATGGGGCCTGTCACTGCATCCCATACAAAGTTTGTACATTGCGCTTGACTGGTGTTGTACACTCTATGCAGTTTTGGTCTGTTCGACATGACCAATGAGGTGACTGTTCCCCTGCAGATGCTTTACAGGGTTGCTTGAGAGTGGTTGTCCTACACTACACAAGTGCGTGGTTCATCATTGGACACAAGGCGGTCGCCTCTTCCAACAGAGCAGAGATGAGCTTCAGTTTGAATTGTCACAGACTTCACCTCTTGATATTGTTTCATGTCAGTGTGTACAGGATATAGGCATTCAAACTGACAGACCTCTAGTAGCCAGAAGATTATTCATTTCCACCACTTGACCGTTTTATGTGTAAAATGTCCATAGTAAGAAACACACTGGCCAACCCAGTCACAGCCATCCATCAAAAAGTTTTGCTTATTTACAATTTATGGCACTTCATTGTTCATTTCCGACAGGTGCTTTTGTTGACACCAGGACACAAGGTTTGCAAGCCTTTCGTCTCCCTATGCTAAGCACAAGTTTTTGTTGTCTTCACTCTGGAAAGTCTATAACTGACAGTGCTGTAGGTAAATTACAGTGTGTTCAGTTCAGGGGGAAAGTTCTTTCGGTTGATATGTAGCATTCTGGTGTAATATATTTTCCTGGAGTTGAGAAGATCAATTAGGTGAAGCTTGTGTAGTTCCAATCTGCGAATACATGGTGGCCTTTACCAGGGTTCTTCAGAAGGTAATGAAAAATCTTTTCTGATTGTCTGGTTGCATCGTCTTGGTTGTAGGATGTTTCTTTACCAAAGTAAACATGGAGAGTGTAAAGGTACCCAGTTGACCTGTCACATAGGCCAAAGGTCTTTATATGATGCTTTCAGGACTCTAATGGGTTGTATTACTTGTAACACTTAGCATTGAGAAATTGATTGCCTCAAATCTGTCCCTGGCAAACAGCTGACTAGGGATTGCAACCATTATACCTTGAGGACTGGCTGCTTGTTCAGGCCCATTGCTATCGGAATGGCAATGAATTTCAGAAGCTCACCTCCTGGTTATCGCTTCCAGTTACCAAAGATAGATCTCTGACGTAGAGGAAGGTTCACCTGTATTCAGTGTTTGGCATTGTCATTGATTATATTTCTGATACTCTGCAAAACACTGAGTGACAGCAGAGCATAGAGACAGTGGGTTGAGCTGCCATCCACATTCGCATTGACACCTAGTGCTTCATTTGGGATGAAGCAAAATGCCTGCCAAACTTCATGATCTTATGCTTTGAAAATGCTTTTCCATTTCATTCCTGCCATAGTGTCAGTAACACCCCCATGGCCCCTGGAATGCTTCTGGGGTTGGACTCACTGTTGCTTGTGCAATTGTTTGTGCAATGCACTAAGAGTGTCATGAATACAGTCCCTATCATCAGAATCAAGACCAGAATTTTCATCGCACTCGACTGGCTGGTTTCCTGGCTGCAGTTTTATGCTTCACTTTCATAGGAATTTTCTTCATTTGACGACCGCTTTCACAGCAGATTCATGGCATGTTGAGAGGAAATTCTCTGCGATCATGAGCCACAAGCACCAGGTTCACTCTCCGCCATGTTGGATTTGAGTGTCGCACACTCATTGATTTCTGTGAATTTTTGTTGTATTTTTTGTTGTAGTCTCGTCACCATTGGGTATTCTCAGAAAAAGTATTATAATATGCGAGAATGTAATCCCCTCCAAGGTATACGATTGGCTGGTGATGGTCATTGATCCTTGATTAGCCAATGATAAGCCACGCCATGTATTGTTTTGACTGAGCCACTGTTAGCGGCTTTCCTTTAAGTTTAGACTTCTTGAGCCGGTTTCGCTGATTCATACCAGTTTGCCAAAAGTTAGTAAAGCAGCATTGTGGTATTCAGCTGCAGTCATGCACACTCGCCCACTTAAAACCAGAGTTGTCCCAGCCCTCGGGTCACTCATTAAAGAACTGCAAACTTCTGATAATGCCAGGGCAGTGCATGCTGCAGCCTCATGTCCTTCACTCCCATGTCCCTCTACCGCACAGGCCCACTCAAGTGAGCATCAATAACCATGCCTCTCCCACTCCCAGAAGTCATGCCCGATCTGCGAACATGTCAGCAGAGTAAACCAAATTACTTCCTGAGTCAGTGCCCCAGCCTTCTCAAGCAGGACCGGCACTTCATCTGAAAGAAATAGGCATCCTCACCATCAATACTTGTGCCACAGGAAACATGATAAGTGCAGCTGCTTTAAAACATATTGCGGCCCCAAACAAGGAGAGCTCCCAGTTTAAAATGGTTTATTCCCACACACCGGTAATGGGTGAGACGCAAATCACTCTCTCATGTGATGGGCTTGACTATTTGTTTGAAGCCCTTCAGATTGAGAACCTACTATCCTGGACAAAATAGTTGGGACGCCTTGTGGCATGCCCTTCATAGAGACCAATGACTTGGCCGACCTGCCAAACTCTTGGTCTCCCTTGCTAATGGAACAACAGTACTCAACAGTTCCCCCTAAGTCACACATAGGCCTCACATTGTCCACCATGCACAAATATTTTGTGCCCATTCCACTTCATCCACCGTCTTAACTGGAGAGTTCACTGAGTTTCAACTCCCAAAAGACATTTTATCACTGGACAGAACTTTCACCCCTGAGCCCTGCACTTATGCCCCTAGTGCCAAACCTGGCCACCCCCTGATAATATTGACAATGTGGCTGGGAAGATCAACATTCGTAACCTCAACCCACTTTCAGGTTGGCAATGCCACAAGCGCTTAAAAGGCCATGAGCACTTTTGTCAAGTCTGCCCTGTGTTCGTGCCCGTCCAACATGGGGTAACATGCAAACAAGATTCCAACTACAGCAGCCCAAGGACCCCCACTCTCTTATTAAGTCTCCCTTGTTCCTGACAACATTCTTTCTGTAGAAACAAGAGCCATGTTCCAGTCCCTGAACCAGGAATTGCTGAGGTCTTCACACCCAGAGTTAGCTAGGTACAATGGTTATGCTGGACATTTGAAGCTGTTGTCAACATGTTCCCCGTCCAGCGCTCACAATGCAAAGGCTGACTCTCACAGTATCCTAAGGACAACCGCAAGAGTTACAACAGAAGTTTGACGAAATTGAAAAATGGTGTCTTCACTTGTCCAGATGACATAGGCATCACCATCATCATCATGGGCCCTGGTGATTTGTCAAATGAACAACACTTATCCTGCTGTGAAGTGACTTAAGTCATTTGAGTACAAGGCAGTGATGTGCATACATGAACACACATTCATGTCTCATGCATGTCGGTCAAAAACCATCCACCTGCTCTCAGTGCACAATATGAACAATTTATAAATCAGCAAATATGGGTAACTACCTTTACATAATGGGCCAGGAAGTTACTGTGATAGGATTTCGATTCAAGGGAGAAATTGAAAGACACAGTCCTACATGTAGCCAGCATAGTGTTTGGCTGTGGGCCAAGCTACACCGACCACAAAATGGTCTATTGCAAGCGAGTGATACTGCATGTGCTGTGTACAATCATGCAATGTACATGTACACGGTACATGGAGGTGTTCTGCTGATGACATCATCAAATCAGCCTGGGAGCGTGAACGGTTGAAAGGGGATTATTTGCAGGAGGGGAAATGCAAGATCTTTTATTCATTTTGGGCTCTTGATTAATTGGGTAAACATTTAATTTATGATGTTTTTGAAATGGTTATGCATTTGAAATACTTCACATGAACTAAATGTTTTCTATTTCTGTTAACCTTTAATGTTCGCACATCCCTTTTTCATATGAATAGCATTATAAGTTTGTGTAGGTACTTGAAGTGGCTCATTAATTGTAGCACATGTTTTTATATTTTTATTTGCATTAAGGACACTCTTTATATGCCACCAGCCAGTGAAATCAGCCTTGAAGAGCACTGCAAATACAAGTAAGACTCCTTATCTGAATAATATGTTAGCAGTTGTTCATTGTGAAGATTATTCTGCAAAGTTGTTTGAGAAAGGGGGAAAACAAAGGATTAGGCATTGTTTATTGGCTTGTTTCTTTAAGATACATTTATAATGTACATATCCATGTAAAGGCATACAGTTTTGTCACTTCAAGTGATATTTAAAGAGAAGATATTATGCTGCTCAAGGTTTCAAGAAAAACATTTTCATTGAAATTCTTTGGTGAAACACAGTATGAGGTGTTTCTAATATGTAATCATGTGAGCAATTTTGCAAAAGTGAGTTTGATGTACGGTTTTTATTGTAAGCTATTGTTGAAGCTATTGGAAATTGATGAAATAATTCTGAGAATTTAGTACAATTATGCATGCTTTAGTGCTATACTATGCGTATTTGCAGAGTTCAGAGTTTGCTTGGTTCAGATTCATCCAGCTGCTGAACTATTTTCAGCTTCCTCCCATTAACCACTTGCTGCCAGGTGGTTTGAAAAATGCAGTGCACATGATCAGGACTTTTTCAAGATTTTAAGTTTTCAAATTCATCATTTCAATTAATGGACGTTTACACCCACACAAATTGCCCTCTGGTGGCCACTCTAGTCTGACAGACAAAATCTATTGATGCCCAAGTATTTCAGCCAGGCCTGCAGCCTTGTAAGAAGAGTCCAGATTGTGCGGTGTTATGTAACTTTCTTCTGTTCACGAACCTGGCACCATGTGCTGCTGACCCCTTTTCAATAGGGACAAGATTAGCGTGCAGCGGTGCTGTGTGGCTCATCACTGCGGTGATGGAACGCTTTTGTCCCCAGTGGTAATCCGCTTGCTTTCAATGTCTTAAACTGTGATATACTGTTTGAAAACAAGGGTGGATTGTCTCTCCTATTGAGAGTGAAAAAATGCCCATCAGCCTGGTCTTTTACTCCAAGTACAGTCTTTTGTTACAAGGCCCAGTTCCCTTTGTCCAATTTTGGAGACCCCGGCCACATGTATAAACACACAATGCCTCGAGTCCCGAGTGGCAAGTGGTTAAACAGAACATGGACAGAATGACTTAAAGCCATGTAGCTTGCAAGTAAATATTATGCATGGAATACATTCATCAAAGTTGCATAGTGCCAGTGAAGTTTTGGCAAACAGATTTGTTCTAGATGGCATTGTTTGAAAAACTGCATGGCAAAGGCTTGGATGTGCAGGTGAGTGGGCTCAATACACTCTTGAGATAAAATCCTGGAAAACGTGTTTGTAATTTAAAGTTCCATTGTGCAACAAACTGTGTGGCACACATGTAGGTCTGTGCTAGTGAAGGTGTTCTTTGTGTTCGTACTTCCATGTGTTCGTACTGACAAATCTGAAATTTACAATGTGTTTATTTCTATTTCAGGTATTTGTTTAATTTCCGGGGTGTAGCTGCAAGTTTCAGACTGAAGCATCTTTTTCTTTGTGAGTCATTAGTATTCCATGTTGGAGATGAATGGCTGGAGTTCTTCTATCCAGAACTTAAGGCATGGGTGCACTATATACCTGTTGCTCAGGATCTAAATGGAACAAGGTAAATATGAAAGAAACTTAATTTCTTTTTTAGAGTAGTTCCTTTGAGAGAAATACAATCTGAAAGAACTGGAATAGACATGCAAGCATGCACCTAGTATGTTAGTCTAAGCAAGGAAAACTTGGTTGAGAGTCAATAGACTGCATTCATGTGTCAGCCCTCTTGAATTGAAAATTAGGTACATTCAAGGCTTTTCATTTTGGGAACATGAGAGTTGATATTACTTCACCTCTTAAATACTCACATCGGAGCGCATCATTGGCCAATTCCACCTCGTGTCTGGAAGTAGAAATAATACGCAACCAGGTGACATAGTGGTGAGTATCCACCTCGCTGCCGTGCGGTAGTTTTTCTGGTAGCATCAAATAATCATGCTGAAACCCACCGCATAAGTATGTTGTCTGTGTTATGTAATCTTTACGGAACCAGTCTGGAGTTGTATCCTAATAACTATTGCAGTGTAACCAAGTGGCAGAAGGACTCAGTTAAAAGTGAGTAAATAAATAAATAAAGACAACAAAAACTACATTCAGTATTTTATTTACAATTTGGACAACGCCTCAAAGCCTAACAGAATTTATATATATACAAATTAAAACAAAACGATAGTCAATGATATCGACCAACAGTGTATAGCTGGCAGTATGTACATTAGAGAACTGCTACACTTTAGGTATGAGGAACTTAAGGATTGCATGCAGCATCCCTCGACCGGTGCCAATCATTAATGCTGTATGCACCAAGGCAAATAGATGTAACAATATGTACAGTAGCAATACAGTAGCAGAGAGTGATGTTAAGGCGATGAGGATCTGCAGCAGAGTGATCTGACTAGGATGTTTCTGCCCTCTCCGTAGGATGGGGTGAATCACAAAAGCTTTTTGTACCAGTGAACAATTGCAGGGCAGAAACAATACCCTGTTCAGATCACTATTGTCAGATGCTGGCATGCACATGTATGGCTCTGTAGATATGCAAATGCACTACTAAATACAAGAAAGTCACAGAGTGCACTACACAGTATTGTTGATCGCTATTTTTATCAGGTGTGTAAAGTGAAGGCTTAAGAGAGAGTGCTCTCAGAACAAGGTTGCATCCAACTATGTTAAATATTGGAAGTCTGTTCTTGAGGTACCGGGTACATGTATAGAAAGAAGAATTCTGTAGTCTGAAAGTGAATAAGGAGTGTTGAAGAAGTGGAGGGACCAGGTGACTAGAATAATCGACTGATTACACAGTAAAGACCCAAAACATGTCAGCACCAGACTATTGAAGCCCTCTTTTTATGCAGATCTCCACTCCACTATCATTACAAAACCTAGGGACAATTTTGATTCTAGATGCTCTTTGGTGTGTTCTAAGGCAATTCCTGGCCATTTTCCCTAGGTTTTTTTGAGCAAAAGTTTAAAGATTTTAAAAAGACTTCAATTTATCTACTAAAAAAAGAACTTCAATTGCAACATCAGTACCAATGAGTACATGTAGATCCTCATTCCACAATTTCATTTATTTTTAACTATTGACTTAGAATGACATGTCATCCAAGGGATCTGGGTTGTAAAAGTATTAAAATCAAATTTATGCTTCACTTTTTTTAAAGAAAGTGTTTTTTGTTTGTTAAGGTTTTCATACACATCTATTCCTCAATTTTATTCACTTCCAAATATTGATGAAAACAAAACCTACTTTAAAAAGGATCGGGGGGCCGAAATGTCATGTTAGTTATTGTAAACATTTTGCCATGACGCGGGCAAAATGTACACCAAAAATAGACCATGAACATGCACCCAACGAACGTAATACACACAAGNACACATTTGTCAATTGGGGACCCTCTGTCAATTGGGGACCTTATTGTCCTCTATTGTTCAGGGTCCCCAATTGCATGCAGAAACAAACTCACATGTACACACGTAGCCTACACACACAAACATTGCACAAAACGAGTAGGCATCTAGTTACCAGGTGATCACACGAACACATTGATACAATAAAATAACTGGTACCAGACTAATATTGGTTGTCAATGTCGTGTGGGGCAATGTTCAAATGTATGTTGCTTCAAGCACGAGGTTGCCTCGTGTTCCAAACTTGACAACTGGTACCGCTGGCCAACATTGTCGGGGAGTCTCAAGGTTGGGATCGAAAGTAAAGTGGTGGTTATTGTTGCTAGATTATTTCTGTTGTAAATGTATACCGTAGAGTCAAAAAATGTAAACATGGCGGCATGGTTTTTAAACTTGGCGGCAATTTCTAAGCATGGCGGGTGCTACAGAAAGCATGGCGGGGCACCAAGTCTTTCCTACAGAACACTGCGTCTGTGAGTACAAGTAACATGAGATTTCTGTTATTTATGAAGTGTAGTAAAACAAATACAGCATGGTTTATTTGGGGAAAATAGTGGGAATTACTGGTCCCGAGGTGTAGGTAGCTTGACTACCTTCCGATGTGAAGTCAAGCTGACCTACACCTCAGCACCAGAAATTCCCCTCAAACCATGCTGTATTTGTGTATTAGTAATGAAATAAAAGTTTGATACAAATTAATGTCAGTTTCGTTGAGAACAATTTAAAATTTGTGAGACATTATACCAAAATGTTTTAATCAACATTTTGAGAAATGAACGTGAGGTTAGCAACCCAATATAGTCTGACAGCAGCTCATTTAACACATAGCATTGAATATGATAGATTTAGGGAGCAATGTCTTCCTGGTGAAAAAGATCTATTTTACCTCTTACATACAGCCTTATCTTTTGTGTATCAATAGTCTATTTCAGTGAACAGTGAAGTCTGGATATTTTAACCCTTAATGAAGCAAAGATTCATGTCATATCTTTACATATTTTTATATTCAACTTGTATATTTGAATATCAGAAAAAGAAAGTAAAATACAGTGAGTCTATGGCGCTCTACCTACCCAAACAGTCACTACATATGCAAATTTTCGATGTGCGTATTATTCATTCGCTGAAAAGATTTTATCTCCAGTGGTGCACCCTGACCTTCCACAATGCAGTGCGGCCTCGCCGCCATGATCGTCGTGCTTTTCTCAGCGCCGTAACGTAACGGACGTTTACCATCACTACTACAAGGTTTGTTCCAGCAACGCTGTGTCTACCCTACCAATGAATTATGGGCCTTAGCCGGTTGAATTCTGGGGGTCAACGTCAGGATCTGTGATATTCCTCTGTCTTCTCCCGGTACCTGGACAAGGAAAAGGCCTTGCCGTCGTCCAGGGGGTTCCAGCCAGGATATGGCCAGGCCCCTGGTTCATTTGGCCCCACGTAGCTGATTGGGAATCTCCGTGGTTGACTATGGAAGACCCAAGCAAGGACCCCTGTCTCCTCGGTCAATTGCTGGCCTGGCGAGCCAGCCGGGACTCCCAGAGAGTACCCCATCAGACGTCGCCGGGGCCCATCCAATCTTCATTGTGAGGTACACCATGCCTGTTGCCCAACATGGCCCAGAGAAATCCTCGCAGCATTCCAGCCTGTGTTCCTTGGTGACACCGAATAGTACCACCCACTGTTCAACATATCGGCCTAGAACACCACTTCATCATTTAAGCGAACATATGCTCACACATGGTTATGTGTCAGATACCCAGCATGATTTTTTGCCTAAACGCTCATGTATTACTCAGCTCTCAACATTGTGTCATGATTGGGCGGAAACTTTGATATTCACGGCATTCACCTAGAATTTATGCCATCTTCTTAGATTGGGTTAAAGCCTTTGATAGAGTTAAGCATAATATTCTACTTGATAAATTGCATAAATATGGTGTGTGCTGTTCCCTCTTGAAGTAGGTCTCTTCTTACTTATCAGGTCGCATGCACAAAGTCCAATTTTTGGGAAGTTATTCGGACCGGGCTCGTGTCCCTTCAGGTGTCCCTCAAGGCTCTGTCCTTGGACCAACACTGTTCAACGTAGTTGCATTTTATCTTCCATTCTGCATTCAATCAAGTATCAGACAATATGCAGATAACACTGTTGTTTTTAGAAAAATGTATAGCCCCTCGGATGTATGCATATTACAAAATGATCTGACATGTATTGATAATTGGTGCTCTTTAAATAGAGTGAATCTTAATGTTAACAAGTGTAGAGTAATGTAATGTGTCTGTCTTGTTTCAAATCGTTTAGTCGTCTTAGTTATGTCTTGGGTTCCCGTGCACTGGAGATTGTTGACTGTTATAAGTATCTTGGTGTGACTATATCTAATGATCTGAGCTGGATGAAGCATGTTGACTTAACTGTGTCTATAGCAACTAGAATGTCAGGCTTTGTCAAAAGGTTGGTTATTTCTAGAGATCCACAAATCCAAATGAAACTGTTTTGTGCTCTTATTAGACTTATTATCAAATATGCTTGTCCAGTTTGGTTCCCTGGTCTGGTTTCTTTTCAGCATTCCATAGAAAGTGTTCATCGTCATTTCACTCGATCTTGTTTAGGTTTACCCCATAGGCACGTACCTGGATTTCACATTAACAACTTAGATTACACTGCTCGTCACATCCAACTGGGTTTACCTCCCTTACTCAATAGGCTGAATTTTTTGTCAGTGGCTTTTATTGCTAAATGTCTGTACGATAGGTTTCATGTTAATATTGAAAGTCTTTCCATACACAAGCTTTTTATGACTCATTATTTGTTAGATTCCCAAGATTGTGGAACACTTTACTCATAGATGTCACAACAGAAATTGTTTTCAGTCTTAATTCTTTTATTTCAAAGTTAAAAGACCATTGGTTGTCTCCTGAGGCTAATATTGTTTGATGCCATAATATGGATCCTGTATTTTTACTGTACATTCAGTTGTTAATTTATCTAGTTTCATTTTTGTGCATTTTTGTATTTTTAGTCATTTTTATCTAGTGTTTTTCTTGTATTTGTTGAGATTTTTCTGGAGACCCTCTCGACAGTGATTTAGTTCGCTTTTAGGCTATCCGTCAGGGGTGTCAGCAAATATTGTTCTTATATATTTATATGTATCA